AAAATCCTTCTGCATCTTCTCCAACCTATTTGCCACTGCAACGGGGATAGGAAACAAAGATAGGAAATAGGTTGGGAGATTAGAAAGCGTGGATTTGATGAGAGTAAGACGGCCTCCTTTTGACAGATAAATACGTTTCCACCCCGCTAACCTCCTCGCCACCCTTTCAAGAATACTATTCCGATATGTTTACTTATAAACCTCGTCCCTAACGGAAGCCCAAGATATGACATGGGCAAATGTGCGACTCTGCATTCGAGAATGGCCGCTAATTCCTCCACATTAGCAACCTCCCCCACTGGAATAGCCTCCGATTACCCCAGATTTGCCCTCAAACCGGAGATAATTCATGTACCTGTATTCTATTTAACCATGATAGCTGTGAGATAATTCAAACCCCAGTTTTAATGCTGCACAACTGATAGTTTTTCTGGTATAATTTTCTGTTTTTGCCTTCAGTCATTAATTATTATCAGTCATACTTGATGTGTCCAGGAACCTTTCCTTAGCATTTTATTGCAGTTGTTTTGATGGCTTTGATTTTGTGGAGAACTTTATGATTAAATATTAAATGAAGCATTTTTTATTGACAGACAACTTGATTCCACATGAAAATCTCAAAACCTAATATGGCAGGTACCTAATGTTACTGATATTGGACTCAAACCAAGAATGGCAAAGAAAGTTGCTGTAATTGGTGGAGGGCTAATGGGTTCTGGCATAGCTACAGCGCTTATTTTGAGCAATATTTACGTCGTTCTCAAAGAAATCAATTCCGATTATCTTCTCAAGGGGATAAAGACAATAGAAAGTTAGTTATGATTTGATTTTGATTGGTGTCTGAAATTTCAGTTTTCCAATCCAACCAGGAGAAATACATATTGAACTATTTATAACAGCAAGTAATGGGTTTAGTGGGCTTAGTGTTCTGGTGCATTTTATCAATATTTATATGAACTCTCTGTCTCTGTGCTTGTATTGCAGCGAATATCCGAGATCTGGTATCAAGAAAAAGGTTGGCACAGGATAATGCGGAGAAAGCCCTTTCAATGCTAAAAGGCGTCCTAGACTACTTTGAGTTTATGGATGTAGATTTGGTCATTGAGGTGAGTTGGAAGATAGTACTTTCTAATTTTTTGAAATTTCTAGCCAAGGCTGGATGATGGATTCCAATTGAATTTCCAGATAATAAAATCTAAGTACTTGGATTCATTTCTACCCTCGACATCTTTTTCTCATTCACACATTTGAAAATTCTTATGCTCGCTTCTGGAAAAGCAAACATAAACAAAATAATGTGTACATAGGCTCCAAGTCATCCTTAATTGATTGCACATTGGACTCTTTGATACTTAGCTTTGATTTTGTGATCTTTTTCTCAGAAGTCTTTTGAGTCCCTCAAAATTTGGAATTTACCGGAAAATCTATAGTTTACAGGAACTCTGAAATGGTTTGCTTTTACAAAATGGATGATTCATGACTTCTCTTTTATTAGTTTTTTTTATTCAAGTCGCTTGTCCGATCTCATAAGAGCCACCTCGGGCAGAGGCTTAATTATCAAGAATCCACTTCAAGATGATTAAAGATGTTTAATTTTCATGAATCCTAGATTATGAGGTGAGGTCGGACTACAAGGTCATCTAGTTAGAATGGTCAATAGAACGCCGTTATCAAAGAACATCATCATGAGTATATTGAATGAATGTTCTTGATTTATGTCAACACATCCTTTGACTGCCAATTAGAAGCTGGAAGCTGCCACTTTTGTGTCAGTACTCCCCTGCTTACCAATTAGGAGAAAGCAAGATATAAGTAATGATGACTCAGACCCACATGCTACAACTTAGATATCATGATGTGTTGTATATGTGGCTCATATAGAGTAGAACACAGGTTTACTATATCAAAATGGTCGATGTCGGAGCGCACTGCACTGAACGGAATGGAGCGCAACGACGACATCGGCTTTGTGGGTTTCATTCATGGGTTCTGAAGTTTTGTATGGGCTTGGGCTAGGGTTAGGATAAATACTAATAATGTAACCCTATTATTCGTATTGAATAAAATATTCGCTTCGCTCCTTATGGACGTAGGCACATTGTCAAACCACATTAAATACTTGTGTTGATTTCTCTATTTCACTTTTCTATTATATTGCACTTAAAATCTAACAACTGGTATCAGAGTAAAGTCTAGATGGCATGTTCTTCGATTGCAAAATTCGATGTGATGAAGTTCGACGGAACACGGAATTTCGGATTATGGCAGCGAAGGTTGAAGGATTTGTTGGCACAGCAAAGGATGGTGAAGGCGCTATCTGGGAAGAATCCAAAGGGTATGTCAGATGCCGATTGGGAAGAGCTCGAGGCGCGAGTAGTGGGTACAATTCATCTCTGTTTGTCTTCGTCATTGGCGTTGAATCTCCGACGGAAGTTTAGCTGAAATTGGAGAGTCGTTATATGTTGAAGTCTCCACGAACAAGCTACATTTGAAGTAGCAGCTGCACGGGGTCAAAATGCTGGAGGGTACAGATTTGATTCAACACACAAATGTATTAAATAAAATTATCAGCGATTTATTGCATCTTGAAATCAAGTTTGATGACGAAGACAAGACAATGATATTGTTGTGCTCTCTTCCTCCCTCGTACGACCACCTGGTGACCATGTCGATGTAGGGTAAAGAGACTCTCGAATGAGAGGAAGTCACATCAGCCCTGTTGGCCTACAACCAGCGAAAACTACGTACTGGCGAAAGTTTACAGGGTGAAGGGTTGATCGTAAAGGGTTATCAGGATCGTGGGAGAAAGAATGATAGAGGTGGTTCTTACAAAGGGAATACAAGATCGAAATCCAGAAATCGAAATAAGAAAAATGTCAAGTGCTATAAGTGCCATCAGATGTCACTTTAAAAGGGATTGTCCGAATAAGAAGCAGGGTGATGAAAGGAAAGATGATGTGTCCTCAAACTCGGCTAGTGTTGCAGAAGGAGACTAGATTCTGGAGATGGAGGCATGCTATCAGTCTCTGGTAATTCTGATAGATTACATGACTTTTGGATACTTGATTCAGCATGTTCATATCACACGTGTCCTCACCGGGATTGGTTTGATTTATATCGATCGGGTAATTTTGGATCTGTTATGATGGGTAATGATGCATCATGTAAGGTTATTAGAATGTGGTCCATAAAATTTAAAATGTTCGATGGTGTGGTGAAGA